CCTGTGGCCTTCATGGACAACTGTAGCTTCTGCTATTCATCTATGCATTCATCGCTCACCCAGCCAGCCATCTACCCACCTATCATCCATCCATCCACCCACTCACCCATCTCTCCATCCATCCGCCCACCCACTCATGCGCTCACCCACCCATTCATCTATCCATCCATCTATCCACCTACCCACCTACCCATCCATCCATTCATCCATCTATCCATCCATTCATCCATCCATCCATCTATCCATTCATCTACCCACCCACCCATCCATCCATCCATCCATCTACCCATTCATCCACCCACCCATTCATCTATCCATCCATCCACGCAACTACCCACCCACTCATCCATCCATCATCCATCCTTTCATCCATCTACCCAGCACCGGATAGGCAGTTGGACAGCCACAGCCAACTTCTGTCATCACCATTTCTGTTCTTTCCCACGAGGACCCCGCCCCCTGCTTTCTGCCCCCTCTGAAGCATCTCTGCTCCTATAGCTGCAAAGGTAACACATTATTTCTGTTTTGTTGCAACCCCTCTGCCTCTGTCTTCTCATTCGAAGCTCTGTTGGGCTGGGATAGGAAATTAAGAAGCCACACTTTGGGCTTGGGACAAAGCTTGGTGGTCTGGCACCTACTTAACATGCATGAGGCCCTCGATTTGATCCCCAGCACTATTTAAAAAAATACAATCTGGCACAGTTGTTTTCTTTAATTCTTTCTTTCTTCCTTCCTTTCTTTTTTTCCTTCCTTCCTTCTTTTTTTCTATCTCTGTCTCTCTCTCTCTCTCTTTCTCTGTCTCTCTCTCTTGCTCTCTTTCTTTCTTTCTTTTGTTTGAGACAGGGTTTCACTATATAGTCTAGGTTGGTCCTGAACTCATGTAGCCCAGACTGGCCTTGATCTCACAGCAATCCTCCTGCTTCAGCCTCCTGAGTGCTAGAATTACAGATACCACCGCACTAGGCTAAATTTTCCATTTCTGATACCTGCTCTGCACCTCATCTTCTTACTAAGCTGGATGTTAAAATGCAAATGCCATGGAGAGAAGTCTGCTGAGGCTCTGTCCTTCCCCCAAGCAAAGCAGTGCCACTGTCCCCAAACCTCAAGTGCCAGAGGGCTCCGCTGTTCAGAGGCTGCCCGCTCCAGCTGTGTCACAAGTGACTTTCCTTCCAGGAGGAGCTGGTGCTGCAGCAGGAGTTGCACCTACCAGGGCCAGGCCCAAGTCAGAGGCCAGCAAGCACCTGCCTGCCTCCTCTTCTTCCTTGGGGACAGAGGGGCCACTGGGCTTTTTCATGCACCTTGAGTTGCGAGGGTTAGACAGTGAATTTTCTAGGAAAATTTTTTATTTATTCATTTTAATTAGATAATCCAAGCACTGGGCACAAAACTCCAAAATGTGCCACAGAGAACAGTGATGAGCAGGTCTCCTTCCTGCTCCCATTTCCAAGTCCTTCGTGTCCTTCCCAGGGGCAAGGCCCTGTTTGCTGTGCCTCCGTTCAGAGATGGGCTCTGAAAATGACAACCCTTGTTGTTTGTGTATTTTTAAAGAATACACATGGAAGCTTGGTGTCATGATGCATGCCTGTCATCTCAGCGCTCAGAAGCTGAGGCAGGAGGATCGAGGAGAATTTGAGGTCAGTCTGGGTGACTAGGGTGCATAGTAAGCTCAAGGCCAGCCTGAAAGATGTAGGGACACCCCGTCTCAAAAAGTAAAAAATAAACAAACAGAAAAGTCCCCAAACCCCAAAGCAAAACAAATGGGTACATTATACACATCATTTTGAACTTTGCTCTTTTCACTTAAGAGCATATTTTGGCCAGATACGGTGGTAGCACCCAAGAGGCCGAGTGGGGAGGATCACTGTGAGTTTGAGGCCAGGCCGGGCTACATGGTGAGTTCAAAGTCAACCTGGAATACATAGTGAGATCCTATCTCTAAACAAAGCAAGTATATTTTGGAGACTTTTTTCTTATTAGTAGATGTAGTACATGGGTTGGGGCCAGATTTGGAAAGCTGGAGGTTTGGCTTGTTCCCAAATGACCCGGAGCTTTGCTTCAGATCGGGCTGCTCCTTGCTGCCGGCTCAAAAGCTGAACAATGCCAGCCACAGGCAGTGCAGCCCCTGGGTCACCTGGGCCGTCTTGCCAAGGGAGACGTCTTGGCACAGGGCAGACTTCCCTGAAGGGGTTCATGTTCTTCGTGTCTACTGAATCCTCGCATGAGCAGTTTGTTCCCATAGTTTACTCTGTGCTGGGCGGAGGAGCCAGACATTCAGCTCTTGTTCCAGTCTTGTAGGTAGGGGGAGGGCTTTCCGGGCAGTGTGGGGTTCATCTCAGAGAGCTGCATCTCTGCTTTGTGAAGAGCGGCCAGCAGTGCGTGCTGGTGACGGCTTCGGTAATACTCAAACCACGGTGAGCTCTTTCCCCGAAGGCGGCTGAGCTGTAGCAGGTGGGATGGGACTCTGCCTTTGCTTTATTGGTAAAGACCGGCTGGGTGGTTCGGGGCTGCCCTTCGGTCTGAGAGTGCTATCGCCTCCTCCTCCTTCCCCACACCCCTTCCTGCTGATCTTGCCCATTTTCCTCAGATGAGCTTTGGAATCTCCGTGGCTCACTTCTGGCGCCTCAAAGCAGCTTGGACTTGTTCATGGCACTTAAATTTTTCAAAGGAACATATCATGGTGGATATTTCTTTAAATTCCTTGGGTCAAATTGGTTATGAGATTTCGCCAGTTGGATGAAGGACAACAACAGCAGCAGCAACAACAAAACAAAAACCAAAGACATGAGGTGTGATGAAAAAATCTGGTGAATGCTTGTATGTAAAAGAATGTATTACATGAAAAGCCACATTGCCATGAAACTCCCCCCCCCTCAAAATACTCCTGAGGGGAGTGTGTGGAACTCTCTTAGCCCACCGTTCTGGCCACTTTCTGAAGCAGTTCTGGGATCCTTTTTTTTTTTTGAGACAGGGTCTCACTATGTAGTGCAGGCTAGCCTTGAACTCACTTATGTAGCCCAGGTTGGTCTCAAACTCATGAGAATCCTCCTGCCTCAGCCTCCTGAATGCTAGGATTACAGGTGTGCGCCACCATGCCCAGCTAGAATACTCCATGGGTGTCTTCAGTTGTGCTGTCCTGGCTGCCTTGATGCCCTGAATTGATTCAAATGTTTCCCTTTTATGGTCATTTTGACTTTGGGGAATGTCAGAAGTCGCATGGTGCCAGATCTGGTGAATAAGGTGGACGAGGACACAGCATCATGTTTTTATGAGCCTGCCTTTCCACTGGATGGCACTTGGCAGCAGCATTTACCATATTTTTGATCACACCTCAGAAAGACATTTAGGAAAGAGGACTACCAGAACTGCTTCGGAAAATGGTAAGAATGATGGGATGAGTGTGTTCAAAGGGGGGGATTCATGGCGTAGTCTTTTGCTGTAATAACTTTAAAAATCTAAACATTTACAGTGCTGTATATTTTGATCATCTCTTGAACACCAAGCCCTTTATCTTAGGAAGGCACTATGCCCAGGGGCTTTTGGAGGTTTGTTAGCTCATTTGATTGTTCATTAAAAATCACAGCTTCATTAAGATATAATTCAAATACCAAACAATTCACCACTTAAAGTGCCAGTGGCTTTTCATGTAGTCACAGAATTGTGCAACTTTCACCTCAATCACTTTTAGGACATATTCATCACTCCCCAAAGAAATCTCAAACTCACTCTCAGGCACTTCTCATTTTCCCTCAAATCCCCCTGGCCATCTATCAATTTACTTCCTGTCTTTAGGACATTCTAGACATTTCACATAAATGAAATCATACAATATTTGGTCTTTTGGGGCCAGGGATATAGCTCAGTGGCACAAGTGCCTGCCTGGCAAGTGCAAGGTCCTGAGTTCAATTCCCAGCACCAAAAAAAAAATTAGGTCTTTTGTGACTAGCTTTTTTTACTTAGCATATTTCCAAGGTTCATCTTATTTTGTAGTATGTATCAATCACTTTTTATGTCTGAATGCTATTCAATTGTAGGAATAGACCACATTTTACTTATCTACTAATCAGTTTATGAACATCTAGGTTATTTTTTACCTTTTAACTATTATGAATAATTCACATAGATGTTTTTGTGTGAATTAACACTGGTCTTTCTAAGATACCTATTGGATCTCATCCCTATAGACAACAAAACTGGTTCCAAGATGATAGAGCGGTAATCTTGGTTAGAGCTGTTAGATCCTGAGCCCGTGCTTCTTTAGTGCATGTTAGTAGAGTTGAAATAATTGTTTAGTCAAAACCTCTTGTGGATGTCCCTTTAGCACTTGCAAAACCGAATGATTAATTTTCAGTTGTGCAATTTCAACCATCTCCTCTACTTCTCTTTGGCCTGCTCTTCCTTCATAATTTTCGCTTCTTTTCTCTCAGGTAGTCAGTTCCCCACTCATCACTATTGGGACAGACTCCCCTGTCGCTCATTTACACTTTAGGGTGCAAGGGAATTGTGTGCAATTTGACGTGCGTATTCGAGAGCTATGACCACGCTGTGACAGCAACTCCGCCAGCAGTGGGCAGAGGTAGGATTTGAAGCAAAAGAGGGTGTTTCCTGGGAAAGCTCTTTCTCTCGTTCTGTTTCACGGATTCACAGGTGAAGGCCTTCTTGGCCATCTCCGTGGGGGAGGGGGAGCGGCAGACCGCCTCCTCAGAGAGACTCACCTCTATTAGCCCACGCGCACCGTTGCTCCGGCAACCGCGCAGGCAGGTGCCGCCCAGGAGCCTCGGGGCATGCGCAAATACAGGGCGGTGGCAAGGGGCAGGGCGCTGCGGGGCGGCGACGTCAGACCCCGCCCCTCGGCGCTTGTCCCGCTAGCGCCGCTCCAAACCTCGACCCCCCCCATGGAGGAGCCACCCGGAACTCACCAATCAGAGAGGCCGACACATCTCCCGGCCGGACTAGCGGCAGCCAATCGCGGCTCGGGTGAGATTTAGTGGACGCCGGGAGGCTGGCGGCCAACGCTGAGGCGGCGACCGTGGGAGTCGCTGCTGAGGCGGCCACGCGAGCGGCTCGCGGTGTCGCGTCTCCGCGGGGCCGGGCCGGGGTGGCGGCGCCTGACGCCTGGCAGTGAAGGAGGGAGCGCGGGAAGGCGCGATGGCCGCCACCTAGGGCGGTGGGAGAAGCGGGCGCGCCCAGGATGCCGGCGAGGGGGCGCGGCGGGTCCTCGCTCGCCCCAGGTAAGGGACGCCGCGCTCGCTGCGGTCCGCTGAGCCCGGGCCGGTCGCGCCCCGCGTCCCCGCGCCGCTCCCGCGCGCCGTGTCCGCGTCTGCTCCCACCCCTGCTCCCGCCCCTTCCCCGTCGCGCGTGTCCCTGGTCGCCTCTCTGCCCGCTGCCCCTCTTCCCCTCCCGCTGTCCCCGTCTGTCCTCGTCCCAGTCCGCAATCTGGGGGGCTTCTCCCCCGATTGAGATCGCCACCCTCAGGCGCCCGACTTCCGCCTCCTGTGCACCGGCCCTCAGGGGGTCCTGGGTCGCTCCCTGCACTCTGCCCTTGCCCCTCCCCTCTCGCGTCCCGCTCCGCGGTCTTGGGGGGCTTCTCCCCGGAATGAGACCCCCGCGCGCATGCATCCGCCCTCCTCTCCCTGTGCCGTGTCCTTAGGTTGTGTACTTGTCCCCTATCCATTCCTGTCGCCTATCCCCTCGGGGGCCCCTGGGTCTTTCGCCCCTGTGGTCCCCGACACCTTTTCCCCGCTCGCCTCGTGCTTCCGTCAACCACCGCAGCTAACTCCCCTTCCCTTACCCTTGAACTTTCAGATACTTTCCCACTCTCCGAAGGCCAGGGCTATAGTTTCAGCATCACCGTTCGTCCTTAAATCAGCTCTGCTCATAACAGGGAAGTGGCCCTGGGGCTGGTGCACAGTGGGCCGGGCGCGTGGTGGGTACTCAGCAGGTTCGCCTCGTCCTCTTTCCATGCCCGCTGTGCTCTCTGGATGGTGGTAAAACCCAGTATCCACAGGGGGATTTTGGACTCTGTACCTGAAGAGCGGTGCTGGGACATGGCAGGACGAATTAGTAAAAAAGGGGATTAAATTATCAACTAGTGACTGCACTTACTCAGCAGAGACTGAATTCTGCCTCTGTGTCCTGTAGTGTTTTATCAACCACTGTGAAGGATGCTTAAGCTGCACGGTGATATAATCACACGCGCCTCTCCCGGCTGCAGTGTTTACCTTTCCCAGCCGCTGTCTCGCAGCTGAAATAGCGGTATATGTAAAGCTAGACATCTAGAGATCTACAAAGAATTTTCATCCTTTAAGAGCCAGAGGGAGTCAAGTTTGGCTTTCTTAGAATCAGCAGCTGAAGGAATTACATTTGCTCAGGACTGGAAGTTTCGACAAGTTTTCTAGGAGTTAAAGAGGAACTATCCACCAGGCTCTCTCCCTCTCTCATTCCCGACACTGTTCTGGCTGTCAGAGGATAAGAAGTCATGTTTTAAGAAGAATACATCTGACCTTTAAAGATTAATTATAAAAGCGCTGTTCTGGGCCTTGTGCTATTCTTGCCTTGTTTGCTCTGATGATCTCAAGCCTGAATCAGCTTTTTTGGCTCCTGGGCTCCCCTGGACAGGCTGGAGAAAATCCTGTAACTGAGCTGCTCTGGGTGCTGTCCGGTCAGATCCCAGCTTCATCTTGGAGATCTTGTGGCTTCCTCCCCACGCTCCTCTTTGGCACGAAATCTTGTATTGCTATTTACATATCTTTACCGTTGTTTGACTTTGCAACCTACTCTTGCCTACTCCTCACTGCTTATTGTGCCTGGTGCTTCATGGAAGAAGTTGGTGGGCATCAGCCCTGAACTTTTGAGGATCTGTCATTTTTGTCCATGGTTGTACTTAGCTGATTTTGGAACTTTTTGCTTTTGTCTCAGAGGAAGAGGGGTCTTCCTTTGTAAGGCTGACATCTCTGATCTCCCCCATGCTATCATTTTTCCCCCCTCAGATGTATAAAAGCTCTGGTTTCCACCATCCAAAACACCTTCCTAGATACTTCCCTCTTCTCAGAAAACACGGTGTTGTGTCCCCTTCGTGTTTGATGTTCTCTGTTCTCTCATTTCCTTGTGTGCTTATACTTCCATTCATGGCTTCAAATAGCACCTGTATATTTAAAGTTCTCAGAGATGTGCATTTAGCCCCACTTCCTTTAAGTTTCAGGTTCCAGTTTTGATCTCTCTACTGGACAATAGCACATAGATACTTTGTACCTTAAGTGTGGTTCTCTTTTCCTTCCCCATTCATGCTCCCCATTACCCTCTCAAGCACACATACGAAAATTACTTTTATTTTTAAATCTTTACCCTAGAATTCACCCTGTAGAATCATCTTCTTTTCTCCTGACACATGTCTGTCACAGATCGTCACCGATCCTGTGATTACTACCTCAGATCTTTTTCTGTCCCCATGGACTGCACGTTGGTCCAGACCTTGATAGTTTTTTTCTGACCAGAGCCAGCAGCCTTTGGGCCTGCATGCCTCTGGGTCTTGCACTCTTCAAATGTAAATCTGATCCGGCCACTTGTTTTCTTTAAAAATTCTCATCAGCTTCCAAACTGCACGATGAACTAGCCCTTTAGACCTCCTGTAACGGGGATTCTCCTCTCACTGGGTCCTTGTGAGCCTTGTGAGTACCGAAAGCAGTTAAGGGAACAGGCCATTTAACACACTGTAATTAAGGCTGTGCAAACGATTTATAGAAATGACTACAGGGTCCTCTCTGAGCACCGCCCCGGACAGGGTGGGGAAGAATTTCTGTCCATGCACACGGAGTGCTTTTTCAGATTCCTCCTCAGTTCAGCTTAGGAGGTGACTTTTCTTTGTGTTCCACAGCACCCTACCGCCATCTCCATGACTATTGTGATGGTTTGTTCTCTTATTTTCCTCCCTGACTAGTTAGTGGTTGTTATGGTGTATAGCTTGATAGCATTTTTGAAATAACAAGGGCTGATCCTGCACCAGACTGGATGAATGAGAATCTCAGGAGCGATTCTGTTGTGCACACCTAACAGGGCTTTTGGAAGTGATTGGATCATGGGGAGTTATAGCTGACTTGCTCCTAGGAGGTGGGGTCTGGTCAGAGGAGGCGTGTCACTGTGGGCATGGCCTGGAAGGTCTCTCTCCCTTACCTGCTCTTCCCTTGCCTCTCCGTGCTTCCTGGGCCCTGCCCCTCTGCCGTGCTGCCCTGCCTTGGAACCAGCAGACTATGGACTGAAACCTCTACCGACTGCCAGCCAAAGTAAACCTCTCCCTTAAGTTGTGGGCGTTGGTACTGTGTCCCGTGACGGGAAAGTAACTAATACTAGACAGTGGTAGTGCTAAGTCCAGCATCCAAAGGGAATTGATCTTTTGCCTAAAAAAGCCTAGTATGAGGGATGACAGGACAAATTGATGAGCTCCAGCGGCTGCATTGTGTTATAGAAAAGTGCCAGGCACGTTGTAGGCATTCAGTAAAATAATAAAACTTTCCAAAGAGCTGACTCTAGACAGGAAAAGTGAGGGAAGAGCAGCATTTTGGGGAGAGGGAATAACACGTACAGAAGTGTATGATAACCTGCTGCATTTGAGAAAGAACTGGATTTGGGGAGGCTGGCGGAAGGGCAGGATGAGAGGTGACTCTGGAGAGCAGCTCATGAATGACCTTTTATGTCCGAAGACCTTGCTTTATTCTAGAGTGGTGAGGGACCTTTGGAGGGTTCCAACCTGGGAAGACCTTGCAAATTCTGGCCTGTTTCCATCCCAGGGTGTGTCTTGCTGCACCTAATGCTCGAATCCACCTGGAGAATATACATGCTTACAGTCATCATTGCATGCGGTAAAGCTTTCCCACATCTGCCCCCAGTTTGTCTTCCTCTTGATGTTTGTTGTCAAAGTACCTGTGCACACCTATAATCTCAGCACTCGGGAGGCTGAGGCAAGAGGATTGCTGTGAGTTTGAGGCTAGCCTCGGCTACATAGTGGTTTGAAATCCAGCCTGAACTATATAACAAGACCCTGTCTCAAAACCCAAAACCAAACCAAAATAAAACCAAACAAAAAAGCGCAAAGTACCTGTGATTGTTTCATTCATTTGACATCTTCTCTTTCCTAGCTCTGAGGGCAAGACTTGGAAATCAGGATGGGTTTTAATCACTGGCTGCACGGGTCACATGAATGAGTTTCGAACATCTTGAGAAAGATCCCTCTGATTCTTCTGGTGGCACCATGGAGGGTAGGTTGGAGAAGGACAGGACTGGAGCTGCATGGGGATCATTACAGAAACCCAGGTGAGGGATGAGTCAGGGAGGCCAGTGGGTGGGTTTGAGGCTCAGTTTTTTGTTTTTTTTTTTTAATGTTGAGATCAAACCCAGGCCCTTGTGCATGCTAGACAAGCACTGTACCACTGAGCCACTTCCCCACTCCTAAAATGACTTGACTGCTGGCTTGGTGGGTCTGTTTATCTATTAAGGAAATACAGGAAAAGGAACAGATTTTGGAGAGTGTGGAGAAATCCAGTGGTACCACCTTGATGGCCAAGAGACAGCTCAAGAGTGGCTGGGCCGGGGCTGGGGATTTAGCTCAGTGGCAAAAGCGCCTGCCTGGGAAGCGCAAGGTTGTGAGTTCGGTTCCCGGTACCGGAGAAAAACAAACAAACAAAACAAACAAACAAAAAAAAAAAGAGTGGCTGGGCCTTAGGTGGAGATGGGCATGGAGGGTCTGTACCAGGGTGGAAAAAGAAGGCATCAGAGGCCTGGGCCAGTGGTTCTCAACACAAGCACTACCTGAAAACCACCTGGAGAGCTTTAATAGGTGAAGCTGGCAGAATGAAGCATCTACAGAGATTCTCATCCATTTGGTCTGGTGCAGGATCAGACTTCCCACGTGTCTATAATTTGCATCTAGGGCTGAGAACGGGACCTAGAGCAGGAAGTAAGAGCACTGGAACCCTGAAGAACGATTTCACTGGGCATTTCAAAATCAGGATAAGTATCACCTTTGCTGGCAGGTTTAACTTCCCCAGATACTTTGTATATGTAGTACATGTTTGGTATGATTTCACATGAGCCCATTTTTTTCATGGCTAGGAGTTCCTTGAGGTCTGGGATCACACTTCATTTGTCTCTTTGTTCATCATTACCTTGAACAAGACTTGCCGTATTTTAGAAACTCGGTGAATGTAGGTTGAATGAATCCGTTGGTAAATATCGTAAA